ACACACACATCTTTTATGGACTCGGGGGGATGGGTTAGCAGACGAAGCGCCTGTTGTGTAATCACGGGGGACTGGAGTTCAGATGCTAAGCACTTGTTTAACCTTAGGGCTACAGAAGAGGAGACAGACCAATCCCCGGAGCTTGCTGGCCAGCCAGTCTAGCTGATCGGTAAGCTCCAAGTTCTGTGAGAGATCTTCTGTTACTAGATTAGGTGGGAAGTGACAGGAAGAGAGAGGCAGTACGGACCTCTGCTTCCACATCTGCACACATGCCTCCTGGTGTGTTCACAGGCACACGTATACAAACATATACGTGCAAATTACCTTTTAAATGGTAAAAGATATTACTTAATATTTTAAATATGAAAAGATTCTAAATTCTTTTAAATCATCTATCTCTGCTATCAGGCTCTGACACGCTCAATTTTTTTGCACTATATAATCCATTAATTCACAACATTTCTTTGTAATCACCTCACACATTCCATGTTTATGTACTAGTTAACAGACTAATATATATATATATAATATATATATATTATATATATATATATATAAATTAACACTAGAAATGTGCCTCTTGCTCCTTGTGACAGTGAGTGGTTTCAGCAGAGGCCAAGGGGGTAAGGGCTATGTTCCCCTCAGTCATTCAGGGCCTCAGGTTGATAAGGCTAGCCATCTTTCTACTGGTTTGACTGGAGGGGAGGTCACCAAGGACTGGCCATGGTCCTACGAATACCACCTGGAAAAGACGAGCCTGCACTCCCTCCCACTCCCGCCAACATTCACATCGGCGGCTCTGGGCACCATGTTTGCAAAGACACTCCTCCTGGAACTGAGGGAAACAACTGCTGGGGCCCAGTCATCAGCCACCAAAATGTCCTGCAGAGCAGCTTTGAGAAGAGCTCTTTGTCCTGACAGCAGGGCTGCTGTACTCTATGTGGTGGCCCAGGCGATCCCAACCTGTTGACATCGTAACAGGACACTGACATCCACAAAGTTCATGCCAGAGAATGGGGCGATTGAATTTAGAATTAAAAAATCACACACACATACACACCAATTTAAGTAAGTTTACAATTTTGAGTTTGCCGCATTCATAGCAGCCCTTTGGTCCCAGGTTAAATATGTCTGGTAAACTCCAATTCTTCTCTCCGGAAAAACATCTCCGGCTCTTCGTTCTCCAAAGTTCCAAGTTCCTAGCACTAGAGTTTTCTTGCCCAGGGTCTCCCATGGCCATGTATAGAACAGTGTTCAGGAATTTGTGCATCTTGGTACCTAAACAGCTATTCAGACAGAGCTCAACACACTCCCAGCTCCTGAAGAGTCCAGAGGCCTGAGTTGTTGAAAGGTTTTGCTGTGACAACACGTAACTCTGGACTGGCTCGTTTTCCTTGACAATAGAACTCCCTGGAAAAACTAGTAAGCAATCTTACCCCTTTAAGTCCACTCACTGTGTCAGTAAGGGACTTCTGCATATGCCCAGTTTTCATGTCCTTCCTTCCTCTCCCTCACCTTCATCTGTGGAACAGGGCCCATCCAAAGAACATCATCTAAAACAGTGGTTATCAACCTTCCTTATGCTGCGACCCTTTTACACAGTTCCTCATGTTGTGGTGACCCCCAACCATAAAATTATTTCGTTGCTGCTTCCTAACTGTAATGTTGCTTTTGTTACGAATCCTCATGTAAATGTCTGATACGCAGGATATGTGATATGCAGCCCCTGTGGGGATCGTGACACACAGGTTGAGAACTTTGGGAGTCAAACCCCTTGCCTGAACGTGACTTCTGCTGAAGGGAGGAAGAACATTGCTTAACTGGGCCTTCATCCACTGGAGGTGCTATCTGGAAGCAACGGCTGGTCCAACACTGGACAGCCCCAAGTTTTGCATCATTGATTCCCTCTTCTTTCTACTTACAAAACAACTCCACCCTGACCTCCTCTGTAACAGGAGGCCCAACACAGTGACCAGCGTTTTACCATAGAGGGGCCTCTCAGAGGTCCACACCTTCAAAGCCCATGGCTGTCCATCTGCGTTAGCACAGAGTCCTACAGAACGCTTCTCCACTTTGCACAGCATGGATCTCAGTCCCCCCCCCGACAGTTCCATTACCACCAGTGGCCCACTCGTTTGTCAGAAGCCCCTGACTTTGGGAAACGCATTTCCACTAGCTACCCAGGCAGACGGTTCTACAATGCTCCCTAGAGAAAAGCAGGCTTGCTTCTAGGGCTGAGCTTCCCCGTTCAGGACAGCAGGGGAGGGTGTTCTATTGTGAGCCCTGTCACCGAGGATGGCATGGGTGTCCCCTCCAGTCAACTGGGTCTTCCATCTGCGGACAGGGAAGAAACCCAGAGGACTGCTGAAAACGATTCTCTTCTGGGCCAACCCTGGGGAATCCAAACCCTTCAGCCCTCCCCTGTAAGGCAACCCAAGTCTCAACGTGACACCGAACCCCAAGGAAGGTGTGGGAAAGATGATGACAAGGGGACCCAAGGCAACCACCAATTCCCAGTTTGCCGGGGACTTGCCAGTGTTTAGAACTGAGCCCTCTTTCTGGGATGACTCTGGCAAACCAGGGTGGCTGGTTACCCTGAAAGCTACCATGGCAGTCCTGCTCCTTAAGGAAAGACAGGGAGAGCTTAGGAAGCAGTGGAGACTATCTCCATTGAAACATATGTTATCCCTGGAAATTCAGAGAATGTGTGACAGAGCCTTGTAGCACACACATCCACAATCAATCTTGGTCCCTGGGTCAGCGACAGAAGGTGGTGGCAGGGCCATCCTAGTATGAGGTGTAGCTAGCCATCTAACAAATATTTTTGGGTTTTTTTTTTTTCAATTTGAGAATTGTTATATTGCACAGGATGACCTTGAACTCAAGATCTTTTGCTTCAGCTAGAAGTACAGGCATGTTATCTCCACACTCATTACTAGGAGCTCCTAAATATCTCTGAAGAACCTACCACAAGCTGGTGCCCACAGTCTCCATCTGAAAGGCTTTTCTAATTTGAACTGAAGTTTAGGCAAGGTCTTGAAGGAGCTTTCACCAATGGGTTCCTGTCCCCTCCAAAGAGCAAATAGCCGGTTCCCACAGCACTCAGGCAGGATCAGCTTGTCTATTCTCCCACACGCCACAGTGGGAACCCCACCCCACAATCTGCTCCCCAGTTCTGTCAGTGAGCAATTAGTTCTCCATTTTCAGGATATTTATCTGAGGGGGAATTTCAGTTCCTGCTTCTGTTTCTAATCTCACTGCTGTTACTACTGTCCGAATGGATCTGACATGGACATCTAGAAGCAGTTATCACACAGCGCCCAGCAACAGCTTCACACAGTCTAAGGAACAAGTAGTGCCTTCATGGAGCTTCACTTCTAGTGATGGCTATAATTAACTTTTTAACTTTGAGCATGTTTAAACCTGATTTTCGTCGTGCTGTATTCCTCACATAACGAAAAAGTGAAATTTTGCTCTTAAAGCATGCAAAACTCAAAAGCACAGCTCCTGAATTCTGAACATTGTTAATTTGAAACAGAAAGCAGGCATTCACTAAATCATGTAAAATCCTTCTGTCTCTGCTCAGCTGTGCTGCAGTCTGTCCTACTGGTGACGTCACGAGTGCCCAGTGCTCACACTACATCTCATCCTGCTTTTCAGTTGGCTTCTGTTCCACGGAATGTGAGGTGTGATACAGCCAATTGCCTAGTAACCCACGGGCCAAGGAGGCCTCGTTGGGTTTGGAAGCAAGGAGCAAAATGCCCTTAAAATCACCTTAAATGTTTAAATAGCCGTCAGGAAAGCAGAACAGCAAAACTGTTCTGAATTTACAAAGGTGAGGAAAGGGCATGAAAATCCATCTTTGGATTTTAGTAATTCATTAGTATTTCACATATAATTATCAAGACAACACAATTTTGTGGGAGTTCCATGTTAGCAGAGATACTCCAAATTCTCCACAATTACATTTAAAATATAAAAGATGAAATGGCCACTGTCTAGTCTCCTCTTTAAGAGGAGTGTAATTACCACCTAAGCAGCCCTTTATTTGTCTAGCTCCGAGTATGACCAAGGCATTCCAAAGGCCTTGCCAGTTCCCCGGTATCTTTATGGCAGTTGTCACCAGCTCACAGCGAGTAGCAGTCCACTGCTTTTATCCTGCCACGGGCCAGCCGTTTTTTTCAGTGAGCCCTGATGCATATCATGTTCCCCGACCCATCTCCCCCCAGCTCTACACTAGAGAACTGGGGAATCTAGGATTCAGGGAAGGCCCAGAATGCTCGAGACCCAATTCCCATTAGATCAAAGAGCTAGCTGTTGCCGGAGCTCCTGGGGCTGGTTTCGAAGCTAAGCCCACCCTGTTATCTCAAGAACTTACTCCTGCTGTAGGCTTCACCCACCGTTTATTTTGATCCATTTACATGGTCATCCAGAAGGGATTTAAGTACCAGGCCCTACCTACCTCAAGCCCAATGCAATCATTCAACACCCCCCCCCCACCCCCCACCCGACTCCAACAACCAACCCCCCCCCCCCCACCCCAGAACAGTGTCTAAAAACAAAATCATTCTCCTGGGGGCAAGAAACTCATTCCACCGTGGCAAAGATGACCTGATCCTTAGTAACAGCATTCTCAGTGAGGAAGAGAGCTTGTCCCTTCTGCCTCTGATCCTGACTGCAAATACACACAGAACCAGGCCCATTCCCTCCCCGTTACTAGCCACCGATGATTAAGCTCTACAATAAACCCTTAGAATTTTAAACGGCAGAACTGAAGATTCTACCTTTTACCAGTCCAGAGGGGTGAAGGGACTTAGTCACAAGAGCGCGGGGCCCTCCTGCAAAATGCGATGTCTCTACGCATCCCTTTCCCCTCACTTCTACAGTCAAACCGTTGGGGTCCCTACTTTGTGCAAGACTTGCACTCCCTTTGATTTTACTAGCCCAACTGCTGTTTGTACAATGACAATTATATTAACACTGTCACGGGGAGACACGTGTTTATCAACATTTTTTATGCTTTATTGAAAGGTGACAAGGACAACAGTGAAATACAGTGATAACTGTGGAAAACATGCACAGACACGTATGCACACAACTACTATACAGCTGGTATGCAGAGACCCCTACTACCTTGGTAATTGACCATTTCTCCGAGCGCTCCACCAGCTCCACTGAGAAGACAGCAGTGAGCTGGGAACTGACTTTGCAAGATTCAGCAGCTAGATTTCAGGTGACACCAAGTGACCGTGCCAAATTTCTTCAGGTGTGGTTTTTGTCATGAAGCAGTTTTTAAGTAGATCTCTCTATGAGAAGGACAAGCCACACCCTTTTCCGACAGCCAGTGTTAACAGCTAAAATTTCAATCTGTACAACCTAAACAGTAGTTACGGTCCTCTATTGTACAAATTCGTTACACTACGTACACAAATATACAATAAGCAAAACAACCTTCATAATAAGATAGCCTAGGTCCCAGCTACTTGTCACCGTCTTGTCACTAACAGTTTTGTGTCTTCTGATGTTTCAGAAAAGAGGGACAGTACTGTTGGGTTTTATCAACTTTGGTGACAGTCGTCGGTTTGTAAAATGACTGCACCCCCCCTCCCCTCGGTGCAGTCGTGTTTCTGGTCTCTCTTTCAAGTTCCTTGAAGGGAAAAAGAGGAGACCGCAAAATCCAGGAGCAGCCCGCCTTCCGAGCCCCATGCAGGCAAGCCCCAGAGCTCTTGGACGCAGGGTGGGCGGCTGGGAAGGGTTGAAAAGGCACACAGCTCCTCAGCAACAATTAAACCATTCCTCAGACATCTGCCAAGTTGCACAGGGTACATCCATGCTCATTCTCTGGTTAACCTTTAATTCGCTTAACTAGTACATCTCTTCAAGCCAAAAGCATATGAGTGCTTAATACTGGGGAAAAGCGAGAATGGCATGTGTGAGTCTCGCGTCTCTCAGACGGCGATGAAGTGGGTGACTGTGGAGGCGGTCTCTCGCTAGCACATGTCTCCAGCCTGTTCAGTTCAGACAGCAGCAGCCAGTTCTGTTGGGGCCTAGCAGGCTATGCGGTTGATCCTGAGCCCTGGGACGCCGGCTGTGCAGGGGGCTGTGTGGTCCCCTGTGGCTGCGTGGTGGCCGGAGGGGAGCCAGTCTGCAGCTGGGCCTGAAACTGGGCGAGCTGCTCCGGACTGGCCAGGGTCTTCAACAGATTGTTCTCCTGCTCCAGCTGGGAGTTTTTCTCTATTAGTTCTTTGATCTGTTCCTTTAGAACCTCCACCTCCTCTCTAACTGCATACATCAAATGGCTTTTCACCAGATCCTGGAAGCAAGAGGGAAAGAACGGATTTAGCTTGCTAGCTCCTGAACTCCTGCTTTCTGAACGCCTTTCTTAGCTCTCTCCAACCAACTGCATAGTCTGCCTCCAAAGAGCACTGAAGCACACTTGTGGAAATCTGCGCATAATCACAGGCGCACAACACTTAAACTTTAATGTATATGTGATCAAGCTTTTCAAAAGTCTCTAGACTTTCTCTGTAGACATTAGCTAAGGTTGCCTCGGTCCAGTTTCCAATTCAAGATGGCAAATCGCACAGGGGCTCCGCTCTGTGTTCCCATCCAGGCCAGAGGCCCAGTGTCCGCTTCCCCGCCCCCAGGCCCTCCCAGCATAGGGAGGGCCACCTCCCTCCCTCCTTCCCTCGGCACCGGCTACAGCCAGTTCCTACAGAGCGTGTTGCCGCATTTTCTTCCCTCCACCTCTACTCCCCGCCCCCCCAGTGATTAAGCTGACATCACAGAAACCTGGGCAGACATCGTAGCCAATGGGAGCCCGAGTTATTTATAGCTCTGAATTAAAGGTTCAGAGTTTGCCTAGCAACAGTGGGCAGAGAATCCCGTGAGAAGAGCCACAGGCGCTGCTCCAATAACAAAGAACGACCAAGGCGGAAATAAAAAATAGGAGAAATCCAGGCGCAGGCCGAGAAAACTAAACTTTTCTCCCATTCTCCTCCTTTGTGCGGCCCAGGGAGAGGTTCCGGTACGGTCTGGAGACCCCTTCCTCAGCTCCCTCCGGCGGGGACCCCTCTCCCTCCAGCTCCCCAGCAGAATCTCAGGGTTCCTGGTTAAAGCCGCAGCGCTGAAGGCGCTCCCTGGACGAGTCGCGGGGAAGCTGGGCTCCTGCCTCCTCCTCCCCGGCGTTAAGTGAAATGGGTTCAGGGCAGCCCCCCCTCCCGGACCCGGCTCAGAGACCTGGGCCCTTCTCCCTCCGTGGCAGCCGTGGGGGTATGTGGCTCCTCTCCACGCTGGCAGGAGACAGCGAGGCAGCGCTGGCATTTCTGAGTACGAAGAGCCACCGGCCCCATCTGGATTTAGGGAAGGGATGCAATAGCCCTTCCAAGACATCTCGGGTTTTTGTGCTGTGCCCACACGGAGTAATTTGTAACCAGTAATTTTTAATCAGTACATACCATCGCTTGCTCGATTTTGTTGTCGATCGCTACCACACTTGCACCAGAGCTGGAAAAGATTAAAAAAAAAAAAAAAAGATCATCGATAAATGGAACTGATCTTTAGCAACGGATCTTTATCCGGGATAAAGACAGATCTCGGAGTATTCTTTTAACACTACAAAACGCATCATACTCCAGAAAACACCAGCCACTCTTCAAGATCCAGGCATTTCCCTATTTCAGGGAGCCACAAAGGGCTAAATTACATAATGGGAGGAAGCCTGCTCCCGAGCCAGATCTGCGAAAATAAGGCTCTCCTGACCATTTCAAAAAGCAACATCTATGTCACAGTAACCCTCGCGTGGACAAAGGAATTCGCATGGCTATCTTGTACCTGCATTACCGCAAGTCAATTTACTCCGAGCCAATTCCAACCAACTATCCCGGCTGACATTTACCTATTGTCAAGTCTCACGGAAGCGTTTTCGGTTCCCAGCAAAGACGACAAGAAAGAAATTGAAAAATGTCTCAGTTGGTAAACTCCTAGATCCATCGCCACTGGTCTACACCATTGGGATTTCATGCAATTGCAGCCAAAAGAAAACCCAGCCTCGTGGAAAAAAGAGAGGGAGGGAGCGAGGGAGGGCGCTCCGGCAGCCTGGCAGCAACTAGATAAAGCCTCCCAGCTGTCCGCAGCCCGGGGCGTGAGAGCGGCGGCGCCGGCTGGCTAGGCTGACCCGGCTTCGGCGGCTCGGTCAGACTCCGCGGCCGGCTCCTCTCCTCTAGAGGAGGCCGCCCGGCCCCAGCGCCACATATAGGCGGGGAGGCGCCGCGCCGATTGGCCGCGCCATAGGCCCGCCCCGCGCGCTCCCGGGCTGCGGTCCCTCCCGGTGCCCGCGGCGGTGGCGGCGGCGGGGAAGGGGGGCGGGGGCTGGGCGCCACCTCCTCCTCCGAGGCCCGCGTCAGGGTCCCCGAAAGCACCCGGGGCCCGCGTGCTTACGTCTAAGGGAGCCAGACCCCGTCTCCAGAGCAGCCGGTCCCCGCGGCGCTGAACCCCGCAAGCTTGCGATTTGCAACCAGACCCGGCGGAGCTACTGGGCATGCCCAGTCCCACCAAGACTTAGGAACGCCAGCGTCTCGATTTCAATTATTGGGTTCTTACAAGAAGCAGTAACAGGAGGCTTTCGAGGCCGTGTTAATGTGCAAGGATAATAGCCCTGCTGCTGGAATGCTTTTCCATGCTAATGAATTCAAAGGAATATTACATTTGTTTTGGTGGGAGAAAGCTCCACATAAAGTTTATTGCTTACATGTAAAAAAAAAAAAAAAAAAAAAAAAAAAAAACAGTATTGCATTTTTCTTTGCTAGGCAAATAAAAAAAGTCAAAGGAATCCACAAGATGAAATGCAGGGAACATTTCAAATGTCCCCAGAGTTGTAAGCCTTAAAATTGCACCACCCTAACCGCACCAGTAATTATGTCTTCTTTCATTTACAGCTGGAAAAGTCAATCTACAGGACCAATCCCAAACATCTATTTTCAGTTAGTTCCTAAAGCAAAGGGTTTTTGAAGTGAGAAGGCAATTCTGCCAAGACTAAATCCTTGGTCTTCTTAAATCAGTGAGATTGAAATACTGTCGAGGATGTTTCCTAAAAAAAGCATCCAATTCCTTATATGCGCCTTTGCTCATTTACAGTGTCCAGAACCAGTGAAAATGTGGAGAGAATCTGTGGTGATTAAAAACTGTTCACCAGTCAAGAGATGCTGCAGGCTCGCCACTATTTCACCTTACAGTCACAGCCAGCAGGTTAGTGCCATCAAATCATGATCACTACATAAGGGGGTGACATAGCTTAGCCCGCAAAATTACCTCTCAGAGTTTAAATATCTGTGAAGACGCATTAGATGAAGACTATAACTTAGCATAACTCTACAACTAAGGCCAGAAGTTTGATTATTACATGTTACATACAGTTTGCCGTACAGTTGGGGAAATTTTAACCTTTACAACACTGCCCTCTAACGGCAGATGACCGTAAAAACGGAAAAGAATTACCTACCAACTGCTTGGAAACTTTCTACTTCAAAGTGGTATTCAGTACAAATAAGTCCAAAATAAAAACTGACTGTGAAACATAAATACACACTCTACACTCATACCGAGGCATCTCCCTCAAGGAGCATCCTTTCCTAAAACTGCCACGAGTCTCTCAATCTTTGAAGTTGGCCCAAGGCTGGAGGTGGCATTTGGTTTCAGAAACAGTCAATTAAACACCAAATTAACACAGCACAAGAAGAGGAGAGCAATTCTCTTCTGTGTTAAAAACGGGTAGCCTTAAAACTGCAAAACAGTAACAATATTCTTTTAATCATGTTTCGTGTTAGGTTTCGCCTCTGAATAAAAAATGTTAATTTGTCATTCATAGTATGGGTTGTCTGAAGGCTCCATTTGCAATAACAGGATACACAGCGAGGCTGAACAATCATAATAATCCATGAATCAAGCATGGCATCCCTACATCCATGAATGCTAGGTGGGATTATTATTAGGTTCTCCATAGTTTCTGTATTGTTAAAATTGTAACTATCAATTTGTATCATTTTAAATATTCTAACTGAACACCAACTCCAGAGGAAAGGGGATTACGAAAAGATATCACATACATAAATGCAAAGGTGCTAAAAACAGAAACAAAACCCTCTAAGGCCATATTACGAAATGAAGTTAAGATTCCCAGATGGACTTGAAAAGGACCACAGAGTCTTATTTATTCATGCTCTTCTTAAACATAAACAACAGAGCTAACTTGGCTCTATGCCCTATCATTGTAGTTGAATGACTACCTGCTGTTTTAGCAACAGAAGCAAATATGAATGACCAGTGTGTCTAATCCACATCCCTACTGAGGACCACTTGGTTTTCTAGAACTCTTCGTTTTAAATAACTAGCAAGAAGCCCCAACCCAACCCCATGTATGTGTGTGTGCGTGTGTGTACTTCTGGAGAACTGGCTGGACCAAAGAATACAAAAAAAATACATCTTTCAGCTCTTAAAGAAATATGCTAGATTCCATTAAAAGTGGATTTTTGTATGAAGGGGGAATAGATAACGTGAAAACAAAGGCAAAGGAAATACAGGAAATCTCCATGGGCTAAAACCTTTGGATCAGAATATCTAAGAATTTCCTTTAAAGGTTCTTCTGTTTACCAGACAAGTATCTTGTGAGTCTAGTCCCATGTCCCAGACCGCAAGAGGCCTGCTGAGCTTGTACAAAAGAAACAGAGGAGAGGCTCCTAAAGGGCATGGGCCATACAAGCCAGCTTTATCAGGCTTCTAAATACAGGAAGAGGTACAGACATCTGAAATTTCTATTATGGTCTATGTATGGTCTTTGAACGCACTCCACTTCAGCCACCTCTGGATGTTGGTATCAAACACGGGAACTGATGAAGAGCAGTACAGGCAGGTCCTGTGAGGGTTCAAGGCGACTGGACTTAGCCAATATTGCTGAAGCAGAGACCAACTTACCTAGAACAATCTCTTTTCCCATCTAGACTCCTTGTGAAGCTATAGGGCTTGCCAAGGAAGCAGGCAAGGTATGCTCCCTGTAAAATCATTCTTGTCTAGGGACCTCCCGTCACCTCACTTTCCCAGGTTCCTAGGAACCAAAAGTTAGAATACCAAGTTTAACAAAACCACAGATTCCATAGCCAAAGGTGTGACAGACACATACACAGTGACAGAAGTGCAGAGGGAGACAGAAACAAAAGTACTACTTAGCCATTAAACATAAAACCCTACTATGGCCACAACCAGGATGGAACCATGGTTTAACTTAGAGTCTAGGCAGCCAAAGACAGATACTGCATGGTCTCACATCCAAAGAAGCTGATCTCACTGAAGCAGAGGACAGAACAGTGGTTCCCAAGGCGAGGGTAATGGATGAACAAGGGTGAATGAAGGGAAGCTGTCAAAGGATATATGAAAACCCAAGAGAAATCATCAAAGCTCATCATCACAAAACACAACAAGGCAGGGATGGAGGGGCACAGCCCAAAGCTCACAGACAGAAAAGGCAAGCTACAAACAGAAAACCAACACCAGGGAAGATGGCTTCTTACAGCTGCCAGAGACCATAGACACAAATGTCTTTACAGTTCCGACAGAAACGGGCTTCAGTGACTGGAGTTCTCACTTGGCCAAACTATCTCTTTAGTGAAAAGTTAGAATAACATTTGGAAATATTTTATATGATCTGATGGAGACTGAAACCAAGAAAAATGGTGTGTGTGTGGGGGAGATACCACAGCTGGAGCCAAAGGTCAGATGATGGGGGAGGGCACTGACAAACCAGAAGGCTGTGACCTGAGGAAAGGCAGCCTGGCAGGCCCACACAGCAGCTGCGTGGTGCCCGTGTGGCTGGTGGTGGAGGGAGACACCAGGAGTAAGAGAGTGGGGAGAATAAAGCAGGTTTGCAGGAGCTGGCAGCGCTGCTATCTAGGATCATGACAGCGCTCTTGGAACCAGTCTACATGCAGAGGTAGCTCTCCACCCCCCCCCCAATCGACAGGCCAAAACAAAGAAAAAACCATGACATTTACTGAGAAGGTGGTAGGAAGAATATTTGTAGTGTGTGAATAGCCTGAAAGAGCTAAATTGCATCTATAATTATCATAACTTGATCATATAATAACCCCAAATTGAAAAATAATAAAAAAAAAGTAAAAGAAACGTCACAATGAAATATGGAGGTAAAGAACAGAAACAAACGTTAAAAGTAGCTGCACCCAAGAAACAGAGATGGGGTGGAAATGGGGAAGTGCTAATTGTTTCACATTCACTCCATCAGCCTGGATTGGAAATAAGATCTACTGAAGTAAATAAAAGGGAAGAACACAGAGATAGGCATACTGACTACCAACCAGCAAGCATCCGTGAAAACTACCCAAGCCTGAAGACAGCCACGGCCAAAGAGCAGAACGACGGTCAGAAACCATAAAGTGTCTTGACTGGTGAGAGCCATGGAAGCCTGAGTGAAAAATTCTAAATCTGAAACAGCGGACGCT